CAACTTTCTCTTTTCCATATAAAATAGAGCTAAGCATAGGTTTTAATCTGCCTCACTAAGTGTATGGTGAGACTTGTGTAAAATTTTCAAAACTTTCCAATATATTGAACTGAATTTGCTTAATTAGTTTTAATTCAGATGAGGTGAAACAAAGGAAGGTCAATTAGGTTTTTTGGGGTAATGCAACTACTACATTTTTCCCACAGTATTTAGTTCAAAATTTAGTCACATCCAAAACACAGTCATAGGTGTATATACAAACCTAGCCAGATTGAATGAAACCAACAGCATAACCACTAATTGGCACATCATAGGAAGATTTATACAAACATTTCCATGACCAAAAGATGCAAAGAGCAGACAAAACTGAATCCAAAATAAGCAGAATGAGACTCAGGAAAAATATTACTTCAAAAGAGGTTTATCATATTTACTCAAACAACAAAAGTTTATTAAATATATCCTCTCTGGAAAAATCTAGGCATTCAGATGCAACAGTGAGAAGAACTATTTTGAATGCCTTCCATTAGCTTATGCTTTACCATAAATAAGTAATAAGATACAACATACATGAATAAAATGTAGTGTATAAAAAGTTCCAAATATAAATAGAGAAGAAACATAGGAAGCATGTGAGGAGAGAGGATGAAATGTTGAATAAGATGGTTGGAGAAAGATTCACTGAGGAGCCATGTTTCAACAAGGACATAAAATAGGTAAGGGAAGGAGCTGTGCTTTGTCTGGGAAATGTACATTCCACACATGGGAAGAGCAAGTGACAAGTATGCTCACATTGGAACTCCCTAATGTGTTTGAGGAAGAGCAAGGAAACCTGCATGGTTGGTACCAAGAGAAGGAGAGGGAAACCTCTGGAGAGGAGACCAAAAGGTGTGAAGGGGACAAATTATGTAAGATTTGAAAGAGTATTGACTTTTACTTGAAAGGATTTTGGTTAGAAAAGTAATATAAATTAATTTACATCAAAATACTCAGGTTGACAGCAAAACCCCTTGTTCCTTCCTATTATTGCTTATACTCTCTCTACAACAAAATTAGAGATAAGGGCAAAATAGTTTCTGCTGGGTATTGAGGGGGTGGGGGGGAAAGGGAGGGGGCTGGAGTGGGTGGTAAGGGAGGGGGTGGGGGCAGGGGGGAGAAATGAACCAAGCCTTGTATGCACATATGAATAATAAAAGAAAAAAAAAACAAAAACAAAATACTCAGGTTGAAAATATAATTTCACTCTAGAAAAGTTGAAGAAAAGCAGTTAGAGGGAGGCATTAATGCTTAACCAAGGATGCTGAATAACCAGATGCTATTCTGGGACAAGGTTTAAAGGCATGGACAGATTCTGGAGATGGCAGTGTGGATATTGATATAGTGTGACAACTGATTTAAAGAGTATAATGAAAGAATTACTGATGGATTTGATGCAGCTTATGAGAAAAAAGGAGGGTGACAAGAGAGACTCCGAGAAAATGTTTGTTTCTGGAAGTATGTGGTTGGTTTTTACTGATATGAAAATAACTGTACCAGAGCAGCACTGTGTCGGGGAAGACACATCAGAATGAGTCAGTTAAAGATGAGTCACATTTGAAATGTCAACTCTACATCTAACTAGAGATGTGGAGTCAGCAGTTCAGAGATAAGATCAAAGCAAGAACTATAAATGTAGCCTCAGTGCAGCAATAGTAATAAAAAATTAAAAGAACTATAAATGTATGAGACAGAGAGTGATTTTTATAGCCATAAACATAAGTAAGAGCAGCAAGAATTGGCTTATGGAGAAAGGAAGGAATTCTAGACAAATCTTGCAACTTAAAGATTGACAACAGTATTTCTTGAAAGACAAAATTACTAAACTAAGGACACGGAGAGGTGGAAAATTTTTTAATTTTATGCAGTTCCTAAAATTAAACACTCAAATAAAAACCTTCCCATAAGTCAAGTAATCATCCTAATGGTAATTTCTATCAAATATTAAGGAGAAAAATTATAATCTTACACAAATCTTTGGAAAATACAAGAGGAAGGACACAACCCCCAAAATCCTTATGAAGTTAGAAATATTCTGATAACAAAGCCAGAGAAAAATATTTGAAAAATAAAAGTATGAAATAAACAGAATTTATTCTGGCTAGGTAATGCTGGGTTAGCATTCTAAAATTGCTTACTGTATTTCACATATTCACAGAACAAAATGTGCCAACCATAGAATCATTTCAACAGATATATAAATATCATTTGACAAAATTCAGTAACTTTTCAACATAAAAACTCTCACTAAAGTAGGAAACCCTAAAACTAATTATGGACATTTTTATAACCCATAGACAGTATCATATTATGGTTAAAACTGTATACTTTCCCAAAGATTGGAATAAGATAGGAATGTGTGCTCTCCTCAGTTATATTCAACTTTGTTTTAGAATTTAATGCAAGAAAATTAAATAAAAGCTCTAAAGATGGCAAAGAGAAAGCAGAATTTCTTTTTTCTCCAAGCAGCATAATTGTACACACAAAAAATTCCAAGCAATCTCCAAAAGACAGTACTATAAATGATAGAATTTTAAAAATTCATAGCACATAAAGTTAATTTTACAGAAAACTTCATTGTATTTCTGTAAAATAGTAATAAATGATCAGAAATTGTCATTTTAAAAACATCATTTATGATAACCAGATAAACATGATAAAACCAGGAATAAATGTAACAAACTGTGAGTGAAATGAAATGCTGGGGAACTCTATATTATTAAGGTGCCAATTATTCCAAGCTTATATCTATACACAATCAATACAATTCCAGTCAATGTTCTATGAATCTTCATTAAGGTAATTGATAAACTAAATATAAAATGCATACACAAGAGAGAAGGAATCAGAAAACTGAAACAATTTTGAAAAAGGACAGCTCTTAAAGGCTTTTTGTTACATTTCAAGAGGCAGGATTACACTGCATTAATCACGAAAGTTTTTATCTGGTTGTGGTGGTACAGACATGTAGTACCAGCACTTGGGAGGCGTGGTAGGATAATTAAGGTATAAAGCCAGCCTAAATTGTATCATGAGTCCCTATGTCAAAAAAAAAGTATTTTATGGACATAAAAATGGACATACAAACAAATAAACAGAATATTTAGTCTAGAAATAGACCCAAACACATGTAGTGAACCAGTGTTAACATAGTGCCAAGTTGAAATAATGTCAAAAGACAGTCTTTTAAGGAGTGATGCTAGGAAAACAGACATCTGAATTTCTAAAATGAATCTCAGACCTAATCATACACTGCAACTAGAATTTTAAATTATCTAGTCAAAAATAAAGCCTGAAATATAAAACTTCCAAAAAATCCATATTTATTGACCTTTAGAAACTTAGAGTTGTCCAAAATCTTCTTAAACAGGAAAGAAAACTCATAAGCATAAAACTTGATTTCAGGAATTCATTATTGTTTTTAAATCTTCTCTTTGAAAGACACTGTTAAGAAAATGAAATGACAAGCCAATAGCTGGGAGAAAATATTTACAAAACATGTATCCAATAAAGAAAGATGTTACATGAGGACCAGATATGAAGAGTGTTCAGCATTCTTGGCCAAGAGTCCAATGTGAATTGCAACACAACATGAAGCCTTTGCACATGGATTAGCAGCATCAACATGGAAAGCATCACAGGTGTCCAACTGTTGGTCAGATGCACACTAACTGAACTTCTGCAGATCATTGGTGGGAATATGAAATGGGAAAACTCCTTTAGTGATTAATTTGGCAGTTTTCAATAATGTCAAACAAACACCATGGGATTGGAATTTTACTCTGAGGTATTTACCCAAGAGCAATGTAATCACACATACAGAAAAAGGCACAAATATGAATATCAATTTGAGTTTTATTCATATAACCAAGAAATAGGAATCATTCAAATGTTCATCACAGGTAAGATGATGCTTAAATGTCTGACGATACTCAGCTGTACTACTAAGGAATACTACAGGAACAAACTATTGATGTCTACAACAAAAGAGATGAATTTCACATGTATTATGCAAAGTTTGAGACATTATACACACAACAGCATATAGTCTATGATTATATATTTATGTGAAATTATAGAAATCAAAGAACTATGTATAGTTACCAAAAGCAGATGTGTGGTTGTCTGGGTGGAAGAGGTGAGGATGGGGGGATCTACTGCAAGGGGCATTGACATTGTGGTCACTTAACTATATACATCATCAATAACTAGATTGTACACACAATTTTTGCATTTTATTACATATAAATTATATTTCAATGATGTTTATATGAAAGACATGAAGTAATATATGCATATACACATATGTAAAGCGCAATTACTAAAGAGGAATGTCATGGTTTTATGTGGCAGTTATTCATATTAATTTTTTTATTCTTTCAACATTCCCAAATATCACTATTAGTAAAAGTAAAATTTTGAACCTTTCCCTATTTCTATTCCAAATAAATGGTTTAGTTGTTCTTAATTCACCAACTAAATAAAGGTACATGAGATAATAAAATAGTTACCTTAAATATCTATCCACATTGAGTTATTTAGAATTGAAAGATCAGTCCAAAATTTTGGGTGTTCATAATTGACATCTAAGTGTGTCGGTGAGATAATTTAAGCTGTAATGCAATCTGCAATGATTTTCTTGAATAAGATTAAAGTTTTCAATAATTTAGAAATACACATCAGAAATGTGTAATATTCTTAGGTAAGATGATATTATAAATATTCACTGGAAAAATTTACAATGACCATGATATTAGAAAAACCTGAGGGAAAGAATAAAAGGTTTTCACACATCTCATAGATCCCTATTTAATGTAGAACATACAAGAGTATTGGTTTGCTTTTCCTTTTAAATTTTTTTTGAGGGGACAATAGGCTTCAAACCTAAAACCTTGTGCTTGTGAGGCAGGCACTGTACTATTGAGTTACTCACCCAACCTTAAACATATATGGTTTGAAATGCCTTATGGAATTGTGAGTGTCTTAGGTTTTGGACCACATCTCAACTGCTTCAACATGAAAACAAAAGCCTGCCTTAATTTTGAGTTTCCAAGAATCAGGATAAATGAGTGGCTTGAAGGATAAATAAGTCCAATAGTCAGACAAACTATGTAGGACAATTTGCTCTCAAGTATCCTAGAAATCCATGATATGAAAAAGGACAGAAAGTAAGTTGCATAGAGAAGGAGGAATGAGATCATAATTTTCAAGGCATTTATGTGAGCCTTGGTCCTGGGGTCTCTGTGTCTTTTGGAAGTGAGCTGCATCTTCTTGAGATGTTTCCATAAGGAAAAGATTAGCAGGAAAAAGGAGATCAGGGCCACAGTAAATGGCATTAGAGAGAATAGAATCATTTTTTGTATGACTAGATTTGAAAATATTCCAAAGTCACTCATTTTGCAATTCCAAGTTGTGTTTCGTTCTAATTGATGCATCCAGTCTTCAATGTGTTTGTTTACTTCTATCAGATTTAAAAGCAAGAAAAGCAGGTTTCCCAGCAATATTGTCAGAGTCACTTTCTTTACTTTCCACTTCAGATAGAGAAAAGCAGGCCTGGAGAAAGTGGCTATTTTGAGCAAATAAAAGATGCTAAGGATGGTAGAAAGCCAGAGACTGAAGTGATTGGAAATTATCCATGCGAAAACAAGAATTCTTAATTCTGTTCCAGCCATAAATGTAAATGAATATTGCACAGTTTTAAACCAACTTACTAATATTTGCCAGATCGCACCAATTCTGGAAATGGCCAAGATCATGAGAATTTGATCAACTGAAGACAGCTTTCTTTTTTTGACCCAGTCAATGCAGTTTATCACTACTATGAATCCATTGCTGAAATTCCCAAGTATGCTCTGTGCAACAACTATGATGGCAAAGATATTCTTCAGGCTACCTCTCATGTTTAAGAGAGAAAACTCAAAGTCTAAAATAACTTCTGATTATCTGCAGATCCAAAATACTGTGTGTATTCTTCAATGTACAGCCATGCTCTTGTTCTTTGCCTTCTGCTCCTTCTTTTGTTGTTGGTCTGATGTCAAGTCAGGAATTTCCAACTTGTGTTAATTAATCCTCACACAGGTGTACTGATGAAATTTTTATTTTTCTGCAATTCCTTCCCAAGCCAAAGCTAAGATAGTATATTACGGGCTGAAATGTTTCATACATATATAATTAGCAAGCAAAGCTTAACTCACTTTTGCTAACATGCAAATAAAGAAATATTCTATTTCACTGTATTGTACATTTTGCATATTTCAACTGTAGGAACTTTGTTCTACCAGAATGAGTTATAAGGTAAAAATGTTACAAAATATGATTTGTCAAATATGAAGCTAAATAAAACTTTTGGAGTTTCATAACATTGTCCCTGAGGATTTATGGAACATCCAAAGACAAGTCTGTGTTATTTCTCAAGAGTCCTCAGTTTCCAGTGCAGCCTGCTCAAACAGCTTCAGGCTCCCTCAGCCCCTGCTTCTTCTCCATGCAGTGGTGCTCACCACTCTGCACGAGTAACACCAAGTGGCTTCAGATCTACCCACTTCCTCTTACATTTCTTTTCCAAGCATAATCGTGGAGAAAAGATAAATATAAAAATATCAGCAATGGCTACCAATGAAAACTGAGCTACATCATGTCATGAATTTCAATATTGAGAGTCATGAGAAGAAAGAGGTATTCATTGTGAAGTGTCATTTCTTCACCCTACCTCTGTCCCCAACAATACAGAGGATAAGCAGTGAGTGAGCCAAATTTTGCAATTGTAGGGACTCAAGAAAAGTGTCAAATTTGACATTTCTATGAAAAAAAAACACTTTATGTTGACTATAGTTTAACATACAGCTGTTTTGCTGGCTGAAGAAGGCAGCAATTTTATTTAATAAATATATAATTTCTAAATCATTAAATGTTGGTATTTTATTAATCACATAAACTTTTCTAGGTGGTTTTGAGAATTCCCAGATATCCAGAGAGTAATTTAAGTATATCATCTTTGAATACTTGCAAATTTCAGTTAAATAGTTGTTCAGATGGTACATTTGTCAATTTAGACCAGAATATACCTCCCTTATCAATCTGTTTGCTTTATATATTTATAACTTCTAAATATTTTGATATATGGTATGTAGACTTCCATTTGCACTATTGACAGAAACCTAAAGAAACCCTTTACATCTTTTGTATTTTAAGAGCAGAAAGGATAAACATCCTATCTATGTAGAGACAGAGATGTTTGGTTGCTGCCCAGAGCTTCTCAATACTCAGAATCTGCACAAACAGATCACCTGTGTGCTTGCACATAAGAAAATACCATAGTCCATTAGAATATGTGATGTAATGCATGAAAAAAATTTAGAACTGAATAGTATTGTTGTAATTTTGAGATGCACGTTCCTGGTATATTTCCATCAGAGAAAGCATTAAAAAGAGCAATCAGACCAAAGAAGTTTTTCCATTTCTATGAGAGAGGGAGAATAGACATCAGAGAAAAATTGCAGAAAGACAGTCAGAAATATGTAAAGAAAAGAGAGGGGGAAAAGTAAGAAAGGAGGCCATGACATATATTTAATTTAAAATGTTTTTCCTTGGGTTTCACAAAATCACATGACGTATACACTTTTAATGTTTTGCTTCCCATATTGTCATTCAGTTAACAGACCCTCAACCATTGAGCAAACTCTGGCAAGTCCTTTACCACTTTGCAAGCTGATAGTGTATAGAGAATACCTTCCTTGCACTAATGCATTGGTCAGTAAACTGTCAACTAGAGGTGCCAATGGTGGACAACCATGTACTATCCTTAGTCCTAAAAAGAATGTATTCCATATTTTCCCTTCATTAAAGATGTTCTTCCCTAAAGAACAATGTTTCTTCTTGATAATTTGTGGATTCACTTAAAATGTCTCCTAGTAGTCCTATTTTGTTTATTTTTCTTTATGAATCCACAGGTTACTTCATCATATATAACTTTTACCTGCTAGTGTGTCAAATTTTTATAATAAATGTTTTTGCATTAATCAAAATTGCAAGATAGGGATAAATCTATATTGGCTATGAAATGCTCACCCTACTTAACTGCTTTGGGATTTAGTTTGCCAATAGTGTATTAGGATATTTGCATCTATGTTTATTAGGAAAATTAATATCTGATTTTTATTTCTCACATTTTGCCATTAGAATGTGGTGCTAAGGTTTTCCTAGCCTCATAACTTTTGTTAAAAACGCTCTTTTTTGTATTTTCCTTTTTTCTTGAATTATTGTTATATGTATCATATGTAGAACATTTAGCAAAGTATAAGTGATAAGAACATCAATTTTTTCATACTTTCTCCTTTTCTAACATATTCTAAAGATATAAATTTTCTGCCAAGAATCATTAACTAAGAATCATCTTTCCAAGTGATTTTTTAAAATTATTATTGTTGTGCTGGGTGGGGTTATAAGGAAGTATTTACAAAGGTTACTACAATGTATCAAATATATCATGCTTGAATTCACCCCCTCCACTGGTCTCTTTCATTCCCTCTCCCCTGATTCCTGGAACAGTTTCAACAAGTATCACTTTTGCATTTGCTTACAAGTGTATACATTATTTGCACCACTTCCCCCTCCTCAACCTCCTCCTCAAGGCAGAACCTGTTCCATCCTCCTATTCTCCAATTTTGTAGAAGAAAACATAAAAGATAATAAGAAAAACATGTCATTTTTGCTAGCTTGAGATAAAACTAGGTGTACAAGGAGATTCCTTGTGTTGTTTCCATCCATATATGTATTGTAATCTAAATTAGTTCAAGTCTACCAGATCTGTTCAGTACTCCCTAATTTCCTTCCCATAGTGGCCATAATCAGTTCAAGATTTCTGTATTCATTCCTGTACAGTGAGCACATCCACCACATTCAAGTTTTTTATTTCTTTCCCTTGGCCTATCCCTCCCATGCATGGTCTCCCCTTAGTGTGTTACCCATGTCCAATAATGTTGATGCTTTTATTTTAGGTCTATAACCTACATGTGTTCTTGCAGGTAGCCATTCTAACAGGAGTGAGGTAGAATCTGACTGTGGTTTTGATTTGCATTTCCTTTATGGCCATGGATGGTGAGCATTTTTTAGTGTGTTTTTTAGCCATTTGGACTTCTTCCTTTGAAAAAGTTCTGCTTAATTCAGTTGCTAATTTCTTTATTGGATCATTGATTTTGGGGGAGTTTAGTCTTTGGAGTTCCCTGTGTATTCTGGTTATCAGTCCCTTGTCTGATGTATAGCTAGCAAAGATTTTCTCCCATTCTGTGAGTGGTCTCTTTAGTTTAGAGACCATTTCTTTAGTTGTGCAGAAGCTTTTAAGTTTCATGTAGCCCCATTTGTTAATCCTTTCTGCCTGGCTGCTTGAGTTCTACTGAGGAAGACCTTGCCTATACCTATTATTTCCAGGGTATTCCCTGCTCCTTCTAAGTTTAATGCTTCATATATACTTAAGTTTAAATATTTTTCAATTCTCATTATTATTTTTCTTCAACCCATGGACTATTTTTAAAATGCATATTTAAGTTTCCATTTATAACTTGTGGTTATAATGCTTTTACTAAAAAGCACTGGATTCTCACTTGGGTCCGCAATTTAAAATCAGGATGAAAGCCTAGCATCCTTGCCTTCATTTTGTATATGTCTCCTTTGTCTTAAAATTTGGATCAAATTCCTGTTTAACTCTGCATGTAGTCTTGTTAATCACTCAAGAGTGTCTGCCTAAAAACTGGTGTTAACTAACCTATCTTATCCCCCTTCAAGGCTGAAGGCACAGAGATATGAGTAACTGAGGTTACTGTCAGCTTTGATTTACAATATCCTACTTCAGACCTCCAAAAAAGTGCTTGAAAGTCTCCAATAATTGTCCTAAACATTTTTTCACCCTGAAATTTAAACAGCAGTCTCATAGACAGATCCCTCAAGCAGGAGCAATCATCTCGTGGGAACAGGATTGTTCTCTCAAGGAATAAGAACATTTTTGGGCCACCTTGCAGAACCAGACCACATTTTGACCAAGAGAACTTATTCACACTTCTTGCCACTGCCCAATTCTTCCTTTATTCAGAAATAAATCTCCTGTCAGTACCTTAAAAATGGCTATTTTTGTCTTCCCAACAAAACTATGGCAATTAAAATTCTTTCCTGCCTTTTTATCATAAGTTACATTTGTTTTCTTTGGGGTAAGTGGCCAGAACTGACATGTTGGAACCTACAAAGTCAAGTTTCTGGCTTAGGAATCTGGTTATACATTCACAAAGGTTTTTTCACTGAGTGTTTGTTATTCATTTCTAGCAAAATTGAATTAAAGTCACAGATCAGATTCTATAGGCTGAAAACAGATGATATATGCTGAAACTTATTTTATTGCATATTTACAGTCAATTTTGATAAATGTTTTATGTTTCCTGAAAGTAATGTGTATCAGGTTGCTTGTGGGTGCAGGGTTTCAGACATAAGTTAGACTTGTAAATCATCCTACTTTAATTCTGTTTATCTTTCTATCATTATTGAGATTTAATGTGAATTAATCCTACTATAAATATGAATGAGTCTACTTCTCTTTGAAGTTCTGCCATTGAAGTTACATTGTTTGATGCATTTTTTAGCAAATTTAGTCTTTAGCCATATGAGAAGACACATTATCTAATGTCTTTTTTTCTTAAAAATCTACTTTGTTTTTATGAAAATGATTTTCAAGCTTATTTCTATTATTACTTTATGGTATTATTTTCCACATTTTATTTTCAACTATCCAAGTCATCAGGATTTGCATTTAAATTTTGTAAATAGCATAAAGTTTGGTAAAAAAGGCAATAGGCTATATAATATACTTTTAGGTTATAAGAAATGCATTTTTGCAGCATTTGCTTTCTGCTTTGAAGTT